GGGGGTCCCTGCCCTCCCGGGGGTCCGTGCCTGCTCCTGCAGCAGTGGCTCTATCCGCTCCTCCCAGTGCCGGATGTGCTGGGACAGCTCCGTCTCCTGCGCGAACTTCTGGGAGCTGGCCATGAACAGCTCCTGTGGGGACAGGGACAGGGCAGTGCAGGGGGGGCACCCCCAAACCTCAGGGGACACCCCAACTCTCCTGGGGGCACCCCAACCCTCCCAGGGAGACCCCAACACTCTGGGGGTCACCCCACCCTCCTGGGGGCACCCTGACCCTCAGGGGACACCCCAATGCTTTGGGGGCACTCCGACCCTCCTGAGGGCACCCCCAACCCTTTGGGGGGTACCCCAACCCTCTGGGAGCACCCCCCCATCCCCACACTGGCACCCACCACGTTCCTGCGCACCAGCTCCTCGTATCCCAGCTCTGGGGGGTCTGTGGGAAAAGGGGGTCACGGTGGGGGCAGGGGGCACAGCACACAACTACACCCCCGCACCTTTGGGGGGCACAGGGGACCCACCAGGGACAGATGGGGTGGGGAATCTGGGGGAGGATCAGCAGCTCACCCAGGGATCCTTCTCCCAGCTCCTCTGGCACCTCGGGCTCCACATCCTCCTCCACATCCTCATGCTCCACAAAATCATCATCTGCTGGGATGGGGAGACCCCTCAGTGCCCCCTGGGGCCCCCCCCGGCCCCCAGAGGGGGGAATTTGGGGTGCCAGTACCTGCCCCTTGGTCGTAGTCAGCCCCACGTTCCTGCTCCAGCTCCGGCTCCCACAGTGGCTCCTGGAGGAAGGGGAACAGCCCTGAGCACACCCTGAAGACAACCAGAGCCCCGGGGGGGGGGCTGGTGTCCCTCTGCCCCCCAATTTACCCCCCACCCCACTCACCCCCTGGCTCTTGAGCTTCCTCTGTGCTGCCAGCCGCTCCTTCAGCTGCCGCCAGTACAGCACTTCCAGGTCTGCCGGGACACAGGGATGGGGAGCACGGATTTGGGGAGCACCCACACCCAGCAGAGCCCCCCCCGGCACACCATGGTCTAGGGGGGCCTTCCCAGGCTCCCCTTGCACGGTTTTGGGGTGCCCTTCCCCTCCATCCTCCCCCCACTGCAGAATCCAGTCCCTGGTCTCCCCTGGGACTGGGAACTGTGGGAGATTCCACCCTGAGGGCCCTCCCGGTGCCACCTGTGCCACGTCCCCCCCTCACCTGCGAAGGTGGGGCCTTTCCTCCTGGTTTTCCGGCTGTCTGTGACGTTGTTGTCTGGGGGGAAGAGATTGGGAA